TATTTTATTACTACAGTAGTTAGAAAACCATATAGGAAAAAAAGACTGTAAAGAAATAAATCAATACTATCTGCTATGCCACTCTGGGGATGGCAGAATAACTAAAAGGAAGCCATGGAGCTACTATACGAGGCCTGCTTAGTTTCAGACTGATTCAGAAATCAATATTTCTTATGTGAGGAAGAAAGAGACAGACAGAGAGAGAAAGTTGGCTAAAATGCTCACAGTTAACCCACTTTAAAATAGTTCAGAATGTTGCTCAGTGGCAGAGCACTTCCCCAGCATGCATAAGGCCTTGGGTTTCATATCAACACCACAAAAAAAAAAAAGAGTAGTACTAGGGACTTACTGTTTTTTTTCAAAGACAGGTTCTTCCTAATGGGGCAAAGGGGAAGGAGAAATGGGAGGGGAGGAGAAAGGAAAGGAATGGAATTAATATGAGAAAATGAAAAAATGGAAACAAAGTCTTTGTAGATAGGGAGGGAAGGGTTGAAAGGAGGGCAAGGGAATGGGGAAAAGATAATAACCAAGATGGATTACATAAAAGTAAAAATTTGCAACAATGAATGTCATTATATTGTATACCTGAAATGTACCAATAAAATTAATTTTAAAAAAGAAAAGACAGGTTCTTCCTGTGTCGCTCACGCTGGCCTCAAACTCATGACACCTCATCCTCCTAAGTAGCTAGGATTACAGGCATGGGCCACTGTACCCAGTTTACATTTTTATCTATCTGTTTGTTGTTCCTTCTCTCTAGTTTCCAAATATTTTAGTAATCTGATTAATTTTAATGTGAAATTAATTTATTCATTCATTAAACAAACTTCCTGAATGGTATTGCCAGACACTAAGAAATGAGGAGGAACAAGGAAAAGAACAGATATGGTCCCTGTCCTCAAGGTATTTATAACCTAGAGAAAAAAATGGGACAAGTAATAAGCACTATTGACGGGCACTGTCACAAACCAGTACAGGACATTAAAAAAACATTTATGACAGAAGCATACAGGACAGGAGACGGCCAGTCAGAAAGTCTTATTTGGTGGAATAAAGGGAGTTTCAGCACATCAAAAAAATGAAATTACGGAATATATTTGCTGACCATAACGCAATCACCAAAACTACCTAAAAATTACCTATATGTTTGAAAATTAAGACATCCAAACTGGTTTGGTGGTGCACACCTGTAATCACAGCACTCAGGAGGTTGAGGCAAGAGTGTGAGTTCAAAGCCAGCTCGAACTGCATAGTATAACCCTATCCCAAAAAAGCACAAAAAAAAAGGTTCAATTCTAAATAACCAATAACTCAAAGCCTCTTTAACAAAGAATTTGTTCCCGGGGTCAAGTGGAAGTCAGGAATCCTTTTTTTCATAGCCAAGTATATAGTGTCTTATACCTTACTCCCACCACTCAGGAGGATGAGGCAGGATTGAGAGCTTGAGATCAGCTTGGAGTGCACAGCAAGACTGTCTCAAAAGAAAAAAAAAAAAAAAACTTTCTTCATAAATGCTAAAGAATCGTGTATTTGGGTTTTTTTTTTAATGATGGCCAAGTTTCACATATATTAAGGTAGGAAAAGAGTGAGTTTGGGACAAGTAAAAATTGGAAAAAGAAAGAAAAAATAGAAATTAAAATACACCCTATGGGTGGGTTACCTTGAAGAGACACAATAGCCAAGAATCATTCATTTCATATACACAAACTAATAAGGCTATATGACTCAAAAGAATTTTAAGCTGATCTAGTGCAACTAACTGGACACTCATAGAAGGTAGTAGAAAATTTCGGTCAGTCTGACCTTTTAGGAAAAGGAGGAAAAGTGAAGAATTTCAGGTTGTGATATGAATAAGAAAGAAAAACTTTCTGTGGAATGTGGGGATATAGGCACACAAAGAGAGATTTCCTTCTTGCACAGTCGCTGTCAGCTCATCAGCATGGAAGTCTAGCACCACCAGCTTCTGAATGTGCAACAGTTGGCAAGTGACTTCACCTCCCTAGGCTTCCATTTTCTGCCCAGAATGGGAGAATCTCAGAGGATTGCTGTGGGAGCTTAATGAGACAATCAGTGAAAAGCACTTGGTCCAGGAGGGAACAGCCAGTGTTACTGACTCCAGATGCAGCTGAGAGCTGCCTGTCGCCTGGTTTGAGCACAGGAGTCCTCCTAGCCTCTGAACAGTGGTTTCCGGGTAGCTCCTGGCACTAGGGAGAAAGAAGGTTGACTACTACTCTCACACTAGGGTTACCCTGCCATCTAGTGTCCAAGGACAGCAAATGTTTGAATGCCACCAACAGGGCCCCATTACTGTAGAGCTCACCCACCAGTCTCCTTTTCTACTCCAGGCAGTTCCCCAGAGCTTCAAGGCAGCCTCCCAAGCCTGGCCTGGCACTCTCTTCACACACTCAAGGGCCAAGCAATGGCCTGTTCATTCAAAGATTTAATGCAAGCCTTGCCTGTTCTAAGAGGGCTTTCCTGAGACGGATGCACACACTTGCTTCCTTCTTGCCAGATTGGCTGTCTCCAACTCAGCTGTTCCAACACTGCCAACAACTGACCCCTTCCCCTTCTCCAACGACCTCCCCTCTGTAGCGCAGCCCCTACCTAGCACAGTGGCCAACATGTGTTCAATAAACAAGTGCATAGCACAGTAAAGATGGGGGTAAAGTGGGGGCATGCTAATAGCCTCGTTCTGGGGGTTCAGAAACAGCTCCACATTGCAGACAACTACTGGTCCTGTTTTGATGTTGACTGGGTAGCTCTAACTCCCACACTGCCCTTACTTTTTTGGTAGAAATACATGCATAAATATGATCCAACAATTCCACTTCTGGGTATTTACCCAAGACTAGTTCAAAGATGGTCATAGCCACTGCTTTATTTATAACAGCTAACAACTATAAAAGACAGAAATGCCTACTAACAGAGGAATGGCTAAACAAGTTGTGGTACTGTCACTGGTTAGTGCAAGTCCTTACTTCAGTGATAATGGAAATTAAAATTGAGGTGATCCATATGAACTTACAGAAAAGTTGGAAAATAAGAGAAAATGAAGAAGGGGCACAGCTCTGACAAAAATCAAGCTGTCCCACTAACAGAGAAAAAAAATAGGAAATGAGGCTTCAGTCTGAGGAGCTGAAGAGGACATGGATGCGAAGATCACACTGGTCCACCAACAAAAGAGCAGCTACCAAGCCAGGCATGGTGGTGCACATTTGTAATCCCAGCACTTGGGAGGCTGAGCCAGGAGGATTACTGTGAGTTCAAGACCAGCCTGGGCCACATAGTGGCCAGGTCAGTCTCAACTACATAGTGAGACCCTGTCTCAAAAAAAAACAACAACAACAGAAAAACAAGAGCAGTTACCATTCACAGGCTGCAGTGGGCTGGAGTCTGGCTGACCATTATTTAAGAAGCCCTGGAGGAATCCTGCTGGCTGGAGGAGCAATTCAGTGGCCAAGAGATGATTATTCTTTCCTGGTGGGGTGGTCTCAAGTCTTATGAAACTGCTGGAATCCAGGGTGACTGTAGATTTAGCGCAAAGGAGACTTCTGGATGTATCTGAATGTCCTTGTAAATCCTTATCTTGGTGTCCTCAGTCTGGAAGGATGATGAGATAGTTTTTGTAAATTCAGGCCTAAGCAACTATATTTTGCCATCTTTTAGACAGACCCTCCCTAAATGACTAACTTGCCTATATGCAGGGCTGAAAAGGAATTCGACCCAAAGCTTTAAAAAAAAAAAGTCAAGCTTTCTTTTTGCTGTTAGTTACCTATTGAGCATCTGTAGGTCTAAGTGAAGAGTCACTGTTTTTAGCAAAAACCACTTTTAAGTCCCTGACTGCCTCAGAAGAAAACAAAAAGCATGCTTTTAATGAGTAACAGGTTAAGGCTGCGTTTGCCCTATGTCCCTGTGATGGTCTCTGACTATGTCACTATGTCCATTCAACAGAATACTATTCAATAAGAAAGGGAATTTTAAAAAATGGTTCGATCTCAAATGCATTGTGCTGAGTAAAAGAAGCCAGACACAAAAAGAGTGTACATATATATATATATATATATATATATATTAGAATAGGAATATATTAATCCATAGTGACAGAAAACATATCCATGGAGTTAGAGGAAAAGGGCTTCTAGGAGAAAAAACACTCTGATAAAGGACAAGGCTTGTGAGAAACTCATGCCATATGCCCAAGATCTGGACATTCATCTGTGTGCTAACCACATTAAATATATGTTAATAACTTGAAGGAAGGGACAGAGGGAGGGAGCAAAGGAGAAGACGGCAAAAGGGAGGTAGGAAGCCAGGTAGGCAGTCGAAGTACTCAAGACGCACCTTGAGTGGGACGAAAGGGACTCCGGAGAGGAGGCAGCGGCACGCGCCTGGGAGCCTGCGTGTATTAGCTCCGCGCGGCCGCCAGGGGCGACTTCGGCTGAGTAATAACTTGAAGGAAGGGACAGAGGGAGGGAGCAAAGGAGAAGACGGCAAAAGGGAGGTAGGAAGCCAGGTAGGCAGTCGAAGTACTCAAGACGCACCTTGAGTGGGACGAAAGGGACTCCGGAGAGGAGGCAGCGGCACGCGCCTGGGAGCCTGCGTGTATTAGCTCCGCGCGGCCGCCAGGGGCGACTTCGGCTGAGGGCTGAGC